GATGGGCAGTGTGGGGTGGTGAGCAGGTCAGAGATGGGCAGTGGGGGTGGTGACTGGTGGGTCAGAGGACTGGATGTGGGGTGGTGGCAGGTCAGGATGGGCAGGGGTGGTGAGCAGGTCAGGAATGGGCAGGGGGTGAGCAGGAGACAGTGTGGGGTGAGGTCAGAGATGGGCAGTGGGGTGAGCAGGTCAGGAGATGGGCAGTGTGGGGTGGTGAGAGGTCAGAGATGGGCGGTGAGCAGGTCAGAGATGGGCAGTGGGGTGGTGAGCAAGGAGATGGGCAGTGGGGTGGTGAGCAGGTCAAGAGATGCAGTGGGGTGATGAGCAGGTCAGAGATGGGCAGTGTGTGAGCAGGTCAGGAGATGGGCAGTGTGGGTGGTGACAGGTCAGAGATGGGCATGTGTGGGGTGGGGAGGTCAGAGACGGTGAGATGGGCAGTGTGGGGTGGTGAGTGGAGATGGGGGTGAGCAGGTCAGGAGGTAAGTGTGGGGGTGAGCAGGTCAGAGATGGGTGTGTGGTGAGCAGGTCAGGAGATGGGCAGTGTGGGGTGAGCAGGTTCAGAGATGGGCAGTGGGGTGATGTAGGTCAGAGATGGGCAGTGTGGGGTCAGAGATGGGCAGTGGGTGGGAGCAGGTCAGAGATGGGCAGTGGGGGTGGTGAGCAGGTCAAGATGGGCAGTGTGGGGTGGTGAGCAGGTCAAGAGATGGGCAGTGGGTGGTGAGCAGGTCAGAGATGGGCAGTGTGGGGTGAGCAGGTCAGAGGTGGCAGTGTGGGTGGTGAGCAGGTCAGAGATGGGCAGTGTGGGGTTGGAGGGCAGGAGAGATGGCAGTGTGGGTGAGCAGTTGGGTAGATGGGCAGGGGGTGATGAGCTGGGTCAGCAGAGATGGCAGTGTGGGGTGGTGAGCAGACAGAGATGGGCAGGGGTGGTGAGTGGTCAGAGATGGGCAGTGTGGGGTGGTGAGCTGGTCAGAGATGGGCTGTGAGACAAAGAAAGGGAGAGACATACTCAGTGAGGGATGATGGGTGGGTGGGTGGTGGGGTGTAATATAGGTGTTGGAGAGGTCAGCAGGTGGGTGTTAGGTTATAAGAGGGCAAGTCAGGAATAAATATACACTATTATATTTTACACCCACATGAAGCCCATAAAAGCATTGTATCATGATTTTTTACGTATGTTTATCTATTCCTGAGTTATAATGAATATGTAGTGCTCAATGATAACATAATATATAGTAGAATATTTTATCACATACACTGAAGGACGAAGACAGAGGTGTTTTGGGGATGAATCATCTACAGGGCGTTTTCTACCTGTTGTTTGTGGGTACCACTTATTTTACTTGCTGGAGACTGCCGTTTTCGCCTTAGTAACGCCCTGAGCATCACCAGACCGTTAACCGAGAATGATGGTCCCTAGTTTCAGCGTTGGGCTTTACTCACATTAATATTTTGCATACGATACATAAACATGTTTAATTTATAATGAAAAGTTTGTGCAATTTAGTTTGAAAACTTGTAAACTGATTTTTTAGAATTGACTAAAACAAATTGATACGTCATTAAATATATAAAACATAATGTTTAAAGGTAGTTTATGTTTCTGGATATAGGACGTGTATTATATGGGCAATAAAAAGTTCAGACAGATATAATACATATATACACAGTACAAATATATATATATATATATATATATATATATATATATATGGATAAAATCGCACAGAAAGGGAAACAATGAAGCACCTAAGTGTTTTATTCAAGACATCTTCAGAGTGCAACTGAATTACAAAGACTGAGAGAGAGCTTATGTACACAGAGTGACTTACAAAACAGGACGCCAGAAACATATGACATACTAATACCAACCACACAGCAAACATAAGAAGATTATATTAAAACGGGCGACATAACTAATCATGTTACGTCAGGTAAAATATATGAGACCCACTAATAGAGAGAACATATGCACATGAGAAAAAACATCTTACAGGTTACATACAGATAGGAATATTTACAACAATGAAGAAAAAATATAACTTTACATATATACAAGAGATAGGAACATATGTTACAACAATGAAGAACAAAACATAACCTATATAAAGAGATAGGAAATATCAACATGAAGAAAAATATACTATATAGAGAGAATATACAAATAAGAAAAAATACCTACAGGTTAATAAGAGATAGGAACATATGTCAAATAATGAAGAACAAAACATAACCTTACAGGTTACTATACAAGAGATAGGAACATATGTTACAACAATGAAGAACAAAACATAACCTTAGGTTACTATACAAGAGATAGGAACATATGTTACAACAATGAAGAACAAAACATAACCTACAGGTTACTATACAAGAGATAGAACATATGTTACAACAATCAAGAATAAACATAACCTTACAGGTTACTATACAGAGAGGAACATATGTCACAACAATGAAGAACAAAACATAACCTTACAGGTTACTATACAAGGATAGGAACATATGTTACAACAATCAAGAACAAAACATAACCTTACAGGTTACTATACAAGAGATAGGAACATATGTTACAACAATGAACAAAACATAACCTTACAGGTTACTATACAAGAGATAGGAACATATGTTACAACAATGAAGAACAAAACATAACCTTACAGGTTACTATACAAGAGATGAAACATATGTTACAACAATGAAGAACAAAACATAACCTTACAGGTTACTATACAAGAGATAGGAACATATGTTACAACAATCAAGAACAAAACATAACCTTACAGGTTACTATACAAGAGATAGGAACATATGTTACAACAATGAAGAACAAAACATAACCTTACAGGTTACTATACAAGAGATAGGAACATATGTTACAACAATGAAGAACAAAACATAACCTTACAGGTTACTTTACAAGAGATAGGAACATATGTTACAACAATCAAGAACAAAACATAACCTTACAGGTTACTATACAAGAGATAGGAACATATGTTACAACAATCAAGAACAAAACATAACCTTACAGGTTACTATACAAGAGATAGGAACATATGTTACAACAATCAAGAACAAAACATAACCGTTAAAAACAAAGTAGTGTAAGCTCAACGTGACGTCAGTTGCCAGGCTCAGCTCGTCCTTACTGTCCCCTGCCCATAAATACTCCAGACTGACACTGGTGGGGGACACTTGCTTGTGGTAGCCAGCAGCGGGAAGTACACTGTAAGTATTGTGCTCAAGATACATTAATCATTATTGCTTTGTGGATATTTTGTGAGTAAACTTTTACGTCAACAAAAATAGCCCAGACAGTTATCTATACTGCTGTGTCTGTATTTGTTTAGATAACAGCTCATTTATATAATTTCATGGCAGGTTTAGGCAGAAAATAGTTTTATCGATGCTTAATAATTTTCATAAAACCATTGAGCCTCAGTAATATAAATATTCAGTGTTTCACACAAACACACACAGTGCTCGCTCAGTGGTCGCCCACCAAACTCAATGGTGGAATCCCTCATTAAGATATTTTTTTCTTCTTCTATATACAGTAGAACCATGGCTTAAAGAAAGTGGGCTGATATTTAGAGGGCTTATGCCAATTAGGGGGAAGGGTCGACAAAACAAATAAAAAGAATAATTTATCTACAAAAGAAATAACTGAACTTAAAAAAGCTATGTTAATGTAAGATGAACTGTTGTATAACCAGGGATTAGTGGAGTGTAAAAATAAGGCGATACGACCGATTTAGGGCCCAGCAAGGACAGCAAGATGTAATGAAACTTTTTTCCTCAAATAATTGAATTTTACCATCCAGAACTGAGATATGATTTTTTCATATACATACTCAAGGAGGGTGGTACCTCATAACTCTAAAAATAAACCAGAAGAACAGTGGGCACCGAAAACTGAAATTTGGTAGGGTGGTGTGGAAAGTCTAGGGCAGTGCTTTTCAACCGGGGTGACTAGTCGCCCTGGGGTGACCCAGGCTAGGTCCACGGGTGACCTGATAGAGTGGGGTGACCCAGGGGTGGCATGGTTGGCTGGGGTGACCCAGGGGTGGCCTGGTTGCCTGGGGTGACCCAGGGGTGGCCTGGTTGGCTGGGGTGACCCAGGGGTGATCCAAGTGGCTGGGGTGACTACTAGGGGTGATCTGGCTGTATATATAAGTCTGGAACAATACATATCCTATAGTAATATAAGCTTTGACTATGTATGGTAAAATCGACACAAAACAGAATGTTTACTATGACAATGAAAATGCACAAATACAACTGCGAGCAGCGAAAAGGCCAGGTGCGTGTCTCCCAGTCGTTGTCTTCCTGCGTCACCTTCACCGGGATGCCAGCTGCGCTACAGTATATATATATATATATATATATATATATATATATATATATATATATATATATATATATATATATATATATATATATATATGAAGAGCTAATTACAAAGCCTCCCTTGATACCGCTTTTGGAAAATATTGACAAAATTTCATTGCACAGAATTTCAAGAATAAAACGGGACATTAATTAAGGTGACAGATACATGTACATTATGCAAGTAAATCACTGTAGGTGCGCGTGATCCAGGTATATGCTGATAACAAGGAAAAGAAACGAAGTTCCCAAGCGCTTTCGTGTAATTCACATCTTCAGGGGTGAGTACAGACTAAGGAGAAGTACAAAAGAAGGTATATATATATATATATATATATATATATATATATATATATATATATATATATATATATATATATATATATATATATATAAACAGAGAGGTGAGATCAAGTCCTGACCATTGTGGACCTGATCTCACCTCATATATATATATATATATATATATATATATATATATATATATATATATATATATATATATATACATATAAATATATATACCTTCTTTTGTACTTCTCTAGTCTGTACTCATCCTGAAATGTGAGATATTTATGTACATTATATTCATATATCTTTTGACAGAATAGGTAGAAGAGAGCAATGTTAGCAGACCGCGCCAAGATTGTGTTGCTGTGGCAGAATGGTATACCAGCGAAGGAAATTTCCCTGAAATCTCAAACCAGTGTGTCCACCGTATATAGATGTATACAACAGTGGCGGCAGGAAGGGACAGTGAAAAGTGAACCATTCCAGAGGAACCGTCACTATGATTCATACATTGAAAATTCACTCGTGTTGAATTCGATGCAGCAACAGCAACGTCTTGGTAACGCAGATGAACTCTCTCACATTTGGCACCTCACCTATAACTCCAAATATGTTCAATATTTCTCAAAATTATTACTTTTTCAATATTTAGATTTGTTCAGTCAGTTCAACAAAGATGAGAATCTGAGACGTAATTATGCATTTCAATGATATTGATACAGCAGACCCTTATCTAAATTATTTAAACATTAACTGAAGATATATGATATACTGTATTATACAAAATAAATATAAAACATACCGATAAAAAGAAGACCCAATGATTAGATAGTTTTGAGGATGAGCCACAGTTTAAAATTTATCTTATACTACAGCAACTGTTGAAGGCTGCTGGGATAACACACACACACACACATCTCTCTCTCTCTCTCTCTCTCTCTCTCTCTCTCTCTCTCTCTCTCTCTCTATATATATATATATATATATATATATATATATATATATATATATATATATATATATATATATATATATATATATATATATATATATATATATATATATATATATATATATATATATATTTTTTTTTTTTTTGATAACTGATATATAGGTGACAGAAAGAAACTAAACCATTGAGATATATAGAAGATCGAAAAATAACAAAGAGGAGAAAACTAAAGGAGACTGTGTCACAGTCTCTAGGCCCAATAAAACTATTGTTATAAGTTTCTGACAAAGGCTTTTGGCACAAAAATGGGAGAAATTGTGAAAAAAATGAAGATAAACAAATGGGTGATATGGGTGATGTAAACAAGCTCAGTGTAATTTACCAAATTTCTTGTAACAGTTGTTCAGCTTCCTACTTACTGAAAGTGGATGTGGGGTGGAGAGGTGTGTAGTTGAGCATAAGAATAATGTATGAGCACATAGGCATTCCAACTCATGAGTTGTCCACATTGATGAATTTGGTCACTGACCAAACTGGCAGGTATTTGTTTACAAAACTATCAACCATAAAGATGGATTTGTATGTCTAGCCAATATAACATGTCAAGTTAGTAAAGGGGAAGCCATAGTTCTGGGGTCTTTTGTAATGTACTCTGAAGGAGACCCTGTGTGGTGGAAACACGCCTATCAGTTCACCAGAGGCCATAAGATAAATATATAGATATCTTTCAAATATTCACGAAATAATACAATAGAGAAAGTAAGGCTGGTGTTTATAACATTATATTGTGATTATGGTTTAATCTACATATGTGCAACTGGGAGAGATCTCGAGACTAATACTTGTGGCATGCAATGTATATATTGATATATTGACATGATGTACACATTAGTCATTCAATGTACTGAAAGGAAGGTAAAGGTCTACATATGTGAGTGTTTTGATAAACATTTATTCATAAGTATAAAATTCTTAATTTCTAGTGAACAGTAATGTGCAAAGAAGAACTATTTTTGTAAGCTTTGGTAATAAGAGCACTACGAAGACCATGTTACCACACTTAGGCCAGGTCACTATTATGATGTAAGTGTCAACATGTAATCTAACCCCAGAAACAGTCTTATACAGTACGTGTACATATGTTTATTCTTCTCTGGCCTCACTCTTGAACACACAAGTGAAGAGGATGTCAGTGAGCATTAACCTGGATTACATTTAATTTACGTTTTCGATTTCATTGTGTAGTTTACGTTTACGTTATTGTAAATCTATACAAGTAAGTTATGTTTGCCTTATATACCTTACAATATTTGTAACCAGCCTTACATTATATAATTCGTTGTTGTGTATTATCATTTAAGCTAATCAGCTTAAGTCTCTGATTATTAATTTTTGTAAAAAAAATTGTAATCGATAATTTTGAATAAAACTAAAAAAGGTTCTCCCACGTATCAACCTATTCAAAAAGATTGAATAAACTATATTGTTGCTCACACACATTATAAACTGGATGTTTTCTTCACCTTATGATGTGTGTGTGTGTGTGTGTGTGTTTAGGGAGGCCTAGTCCAGCAGTGGGAGTGACGCAGACTGATAACGATAATGTAAATGACCATACTAAGACAGCCGGTCTCCTCACTCACACTAGGTAATGATGATGCCACTCGGATATCACATAGTGGTGTTGGCTGCCACGGTGATGAGCGCTGCGCATTTAATTAGTCAGGAGATGGGTGGACCCGTGGAGCAGGTGGGCGTGGATGTGGGCGTGATGGTGGGTCAGGTGGTGGAGCACCATCTCACTGGCTGTCACCTGGTGCTCATCACCACTACACAACACTCTCACGTGTTCTCCAGTATAATCAGGTGAAATACAAAAGGTGTCTCGGTCGTCATAAACCTATGTGTATGTCATATTCCTTCATTACCCTTTACCAAAAAGCTTGTCTGTGTTGGTCTAAAGGTGCTACAAATAACACTGTGTATCCTGAAAAACTCTGTGACTGACACAAGGTAAACAAAGTACATACAGACCATTGCTGAGCTTATAATGGTTAATTTATTTAGTGGGATACTCCAGTTGTGTATATCCATAATATTGTATTCATCTAATATGCTCTCAGTGTTTTGTGTCAATTCTCCCTACCATCTTACACGATGACCCCCTGACTCCACACTGTATAATTATGGTGGTTGTGAAAGTTCCAACACACTTCTTGTTTTTCCATAAGGTAGCGTGGAAGTCGTGTTAGTCTCACGCAGTTCCAAGAGTAGCTCAGTTATCTTCATGATACTACCTTCTGTTTCTTTATTGATTACTAATTATCTTCAAAACTTATACTGACAAGTGGACGATAAAACAGTAAACTTGTGTCCCTTAGACTCATGAGTGTAAGTGTGGAGGCTATTGTGGTAGCGGAGGCAGGTTGGGTGTCTCAGGACCAGCTGACCCAAGACCACCTACTCAAAGGGCTCTGGGGAGACACAAGAACCGCCTGCCGGGCACTCATCCTTGACGTCACCACCAGCAACAATAACACTCACCTTACCTTCAGGTAATGCTTACGGATATAAAGACGCACAGTAAAACGATATAATGGTTATTCTGTGAAGTAACACGTTCATGATTTATGTTGAATTTAGTGCTGGTGTAACTTAACCAAATGAAGGAACATCAGGATCTAGAATCATTACACATTAGAGAACATTTTCCTCTCAATGTGTTGTCACTAATGATTTCACCCCCTCCGTAGATTGGCAGAGGCGGCAGAATTGTGGAAGATGCCTGAGACGCGGGTAGTGGTGGTGGGTGGAACAGAAGAAGTGGAAGGCATCCTTCTCCACAATAGCTTCCGCAACATCGTCCACGCTCTCTACCTGGCAGTCCACTTCCCCCTCCAAGCCCCACTACTGTACAGGAACACACGCCTCAGGAAGATTTTCCAACAAGAAGGTCAGCAAGTTCCTGTAAACTTAAATGAAAAGACGATAACGGTCTGTCTTTGTTTAGTAGTTCTCATAAGGGCAACAATCATAGGTAAATTTGTAAACATGTCTACAAAAATCATTAACGCATACTTTTTTTTTCCACAAACACTTGACAACTTTTCCCCTTCTCTTGGCAGCATCAGTGAGTGAGCGTGTGTGGGTGTACCGGCGGTGTCTGTACTGCAACAACGGGGAGGCGGACGTCCAACTTATACACAAGAGGAACATTACCTCCTTTCCTCAATATGTTGATGACCTCTTCTATCACGGTAAGGTATTTCAATCCACGAGGTTCTATCAACTCGCCTTCATGCTGGGTGCATAAATAAAGTAAATTGCATCTTTCAGTCTTATTTGGAGTGAGGAAACCTGGTGAATGCAGCAAGACTGTACATTCACATTCACGTTAGTGGAAGTTGGAAAGTAGGATGAGCACTACGGTATTTGCTCATATCACCAGAAATAATGGTACACTCTTCTGGTCTACCTAATGCAGTCAGCTCCAACTTCAGCAGTCAACTCATTTGATGGTTCATGGACCTCAGATTCCCACGATGAAGTCAATTTTCCTTTAAAATTTTTACCTGTAACTCAATTGGATCTAATGGTGTCTGAAATCTCAGCCCTTCGAATTAACACAAAATATGTATAAAAAAATCACAGACTTTTAAAAAGTGACTTCTCGAAAACTGCTCTACTGAACTGTCTCTTGTCCTGTTGAGAGATGTGAGACTATTTCTTTTCACTTCAGCCTCCGCCTCCTCTTGAAATGTATTAGCATTCATCCAACTCTAAAGAAACGTGATAAATCCAACACTTCGAATTATCACCCTATTTACCTCGCCTCCACAGTAACCCCCCCAAAAAATAAACTGTAATTAATTCACATATTATCAGACACCTTGAAGATAACACTTTGCTCAGTCACCATTAGAAAGGTTTTCGGCATCTTTTTCCACCACTTGACTCCCGTACACATTTGTCTAGTTATGTTAATAAATTTTCATCCACGAATTACTAAGTCTGCATCTCCCCATTATCCAAAACTCTGTTTTCCTACTTAGTCTTTTTACTATTTCTTGCTCAACAATTTTAACCAACCATTAAATTCGAAAAAAAATACTTCTCGACGTGTGCAATATGTACAGTCAGCCAAAGATGCACCGACCCCACACTGGGTCTCGTGCTCGCAATTTTACCTGGCAATACTTGGTAAAGGAAGGCTGGATGTAAAGGTGATTGTGATTGGTGGATCTGTTTTTGGCTGTATCACTGTCAGGATAATTGTTAAACAATCCAAAGGTAACATTTTTATAATAATAAACTCTTCATTGTTATTTAAGGTCAAGAAAAGTTTCCAAATGTACGTATATTTGTTTAAATAATTAAGAAAATTTGATGTGAGAATCTTGTGGCAGCTGTGTTAGTTGAGTTGCCAATTCATAAATATAATTTTCTTCATTATTTAAGCAAATATACAAAAAATGGAAACTT